TGATTTTAGATTCATTAGATAGATCTCGATTTTCTCTTTCAAATGAATGTAAATTTATTTGTATAGCTTATTTCTACGAAGAATTATCAATGATTTTGTCATGAGAGTTATATTTGATCTTTTAAATTTTAATGATATCTTATATTAAAAAAAAATTAAAAATTATATAATTAATTAGTTTTTTTTGCATTATCTGGTATAAATTTATTATTCTTATATAAATGATAATTTATATTTGCTTTAATAAAATTATTTTTGTGTAAAAAAATTAGATTCCAAGGATCGGCCCATATGTTTTAGTATTATTTAAAAATTCTTAAAATAAATTATAAGTCATTTTTTTTTTATAATTACTAAATAGTAAATTATTTTAACCAATTAAAAAATTAATCTAAAATTTATACTAAACTAATTTATTAAAAGTTTTATCTAAGATTTTTTTGCAATTAATAATATTTTTAAAATAAAATTACAATTAAAATTCTTTAAAAGATTACTTGGTTTTTTTTTCTATTAAATTGCAATAAATTAAAATCTTCTCTATTAAAATAATATATTGATTACAAATAAGAAACATTTATTTTTAATTTTAATACTTTTATTTTATTTTATTTTGAATTGATAATAATAATACATATTAGTTTTTAATAAAGTTTTTAAATAGATACCAAATAATCTTACTGATTCTTTAAACATTAAAATTAAAGTATTTAAAATTACATTAAATTTTTTTATTTTTTATATAAATTTTATATGTTTTTTTATAATAGAATTCTAAATATTTTATTTCTAAATATTTTATTTATTACTAATGAGTAATGACAGATTTAATTATTTTATTATTATAATCAAATTAATCACTATATTTCCAAAAAAGTAGTTTATTAAGATAGATATTAGTTTTTCTTTATTTTGAAATTAGTTAATAAATATCTTTATTTAAGTAATATTTTTTTGAATAGTAATTTATATAAATTTACTTTATCCTAAAATTCTATAATTTTAAGATTAAATTAAAAAATATTTATTCTATAATTTTTTTAAAACTATATTATTAAAATTGTTAAAATTGTTACTACAGTCGCATCTCCATAAGTGTATGTACCTGAGGCCTAGCTATGTATATGCAGTTAGAGAGGGTGTGCATTTAAAGAACAGCCAATAGAAAAATTAATAGTAGTAATTTAAGGGAATATTTATTTAAATTCACTTTCACTGGTCAAAAA